TTTATAGCTCAAATAATCTTCACCCAAATTGTCATTTTAAGTGTGTTAAGCATGAAGGCAGATTTTTAAAAAAAATTATTACATGTATTTCCCGACCAGATGCTGCCGCCTTCTTTTTGATTTATCTTTCAGCTTATCATTACAAGTTTAAGTGAATCGATAAGTCCAACATCCCAAGATTTGTTATTACTCGCTATTTCCCGATCAGTGGATACCATCCCCCTTTCCATTTGTTCTGCAGCTCGGCAAGACTATTACAATCAGAGTGCTTAATTAAAAATTGAACGTTTTTCCCAGTCAGCGTTAGCATAATCTCTACATTGATAAGGCGTGATTATTGTCTCGGATTTGTTGCTTTTTGCAGGAAACGGTAGAGTTTAGGAAACTATCTTATGAAGATAAGTCGTGCTGAACATCAACGTCCTCTTTCTGAGGCTGAACGTGTTTACGAAGACCGATTCCTTGAAAACTTCAAGGTAGTTATATGAGGCAAATTGTCTGTAATTACGTGGTTCGTCCCAGAAATGTGCTGTATATCTGAAGCGAAATGTTGTCTAGCTGTCGAGAATCACGAGGAAAATACTTGTCTGAAGATGAGCATAAAAGGAAAGTAAGAGGTCTTTAATTGGTAAACAGAGTGAATTCTTAATCTTCCACATAGTGTTGAGAGTAACTGACAGAAAAATACATGTCTGTGAGTCCCCTATCGAAAGCGTTATACCTCGATTCAGTGTCTTGAGAAGAGTCCTAAAGGCTGCCAGCAGTTTTTACCAATCGTCGCAAGACTCCTTCAGTTGTCGAGTCGGATGGGTCCACTGCGATACTAATGCGTGTTTTGGTGTTCTGATGTGCGAGTATTGTTGCTTTGGCGATAAGTCCCTTGGCTGTGGAGGATGTTTTAGTCGCATCGTCCCACAAATTGAGTTTCGCTTTTTTACGAAGTTGATCTGTTAAAGGTCTCACTTGAAATGCGCAATTCGTTGTAATGAGTCGATTAAAACTTATCAAGCCGTTGAACGCATGTAATTGCCTGACTGTGGTTGGTTCTGGTTAATCCAGAATGACTGCCATCTTTATTTTCAGATAGCTGACGCCATGAGCATCAAGGTGTGTCCGAGAAAACCTAGGAAGAAGGTGGCGATTTGACACTTCCGAATGTTTGCAGTAATGCTGTGTTTTTGGAGATGCTTGAAGACAAGGTCCAGATGCTGGAGATGAGATTCTTTGTATGGATGTCCAATCATGCAGTCATCAGCGTACGCGTGTACGACATTGAGACCTCAAAAGATGAAGTCTATGAATCCCTGAATCTTTTGTACACCATTTGTTAAACCGAATGGCATGTGCGAAGATTCATATAGGCCGAGGGGACTGGTGACAGTCGTTCGCGGAATGTCGTGTAAAGCCAAGGGAATCTAGTCGTATGTTTCAACCAAATCATAGAAAATACATATTTTTTAAAGTATTAATCAAGTTGTTGATTTATGGTCAGGGGTAACTATCGAGAGTGGTTCTCGTATTCAGTCGCCGATCATCACAAGTTGAAAGTCAATAATTGCTATTCTTTTAAGGGACCATGTGCAAGAGAGACGCCTGTGGGTTGTTTGACGGGCGAATGATTCCTAGGTCTATCATATTGCTCGGCTCATTTTTGGCCGACCCTAGCCTTTTGAGAGCTGTTCAGCTCGCTATTGAGAATACAGGTGGTCCTGTGGTTATGTTATAGTGTGCAGCATTGGTGGTTATACACGGTAATTTTGATTGCGTTTGGTACAGGTCAGAGTACTTGTCGTGTATCCGTTGGTAGTAAGGATTGATTATGCGCTTAACTGATTGGAGATGATATACAAGAAAAATGAAGTTACACAAACAGTTAAATTAGTATTTCCGCCTACTAACCTCCGTTTGCGCGTGTCGATTGGCACATTTTGAAGTTGTGGTACGTCTATACAGATGATTGATTTTGAAACATCTGCAACAACGAAAATCCAGTGGATGGGTTTGTATAAGCCCATGTTGAGATACACATATCGCTTACCGTATGAGTTGATCGGTTTCGCATTTTCAGCCTGCAGGTTGAAAACTACCTCATGTAGTCAGTCGTCAGGATTTACGAGAGGAACAATAACTTCTGCGCATGTATGGTTGAGGTGGCAAACATTCGCAATGAAATCCGTGACGTGTAGTAAACGGCCATGTTCATCGCCTGCGGCTGTCTTTAACGCGCCCTCGAGCAGTAGTTCTTCGTATCGTTTTCCGGAAAGTGATGGGTCTTTTATAATCTTGAGAAGACTTGCCATACTTCTTGCGGTACCAACACCAACAATGATTATCTGCCTCCTGTGGTTTAGAGGCAGATCTCTTTAGTGGCGCGTTGCTCCGAGAAGTTTGGGAGCGAGGTGCAGGATGCGAGGTAGTGAGATGTCATCTTGAGGTACATGGTGCATGCCTAGTATAGCTGTTGAAGCGTCAGCATATGATACGGACCGATTATCGTTTTAATATAGCCTCACGTGATTTGTTTTGGTGGCGGATTTAGACCTCTTGCAGGCGCTTTAGGATCCATGGGAGGTTGCATATCTTTGAGATGGCCTGTACATCATTTGAAGAGGTAATAATATTAGTGCCGTTTATATTATCCGAACGGTCAGTGTCAGAACTCAAATTAATAGACGATCAACACGAGACGGTATGATTGAGTCCAATATTCGTCAAGAGGTAATAGATGAACGTTAATGAACGAAAACAAAATTACTACTTGAAATCTAACGGAATAAGTGCATGAAGATGAGCGTCAAGATGAATTATCAAATTAATGAAACCCATATCAAAATATGGTATTTTTCGCTGATAAATAATAACTCTGAGTGAAAATCCAATGAAAAAAAATAACCACGCAAAAATGTTGCAAAATCCGAAGCCCGTGCGCCCTCGTTAACTATGAGTAATTTGGTTATTTCAAGGGGAACGGATTATATGCGGGTTCTGAAAAGCCGAAATATTGATAAGCCTGGATTTTCGTCACTTTATGATTTATTCTCCATAGCCAAAGAATATATACGTTGAGGCGAATGATTACTGTCAAAAAATTAGGTATATTCTGAAGAGCATTTACGCCACTGTGCTTCTGGTAACAGCGCATTCAGTTCCACGGTTTCTTTGCAAAGAAATACTGGTTAGTGGGCGGTTGGGACCGAACGTGGGCAAATCTCTTACTTCTGCAACAATATCTAGGGAAAATAAACCCTGACATTGTAATCGAATTTGTCCTTACTGATTTTCAGAACCAAACCCATATCTTTTCTCTTTCGTCTTGGCACCTCGAACTTCAGACCAGTCCATTTGTTTATATCAACCACATTATCGTATGTAGGCGTTATACTCTCCCAACACCATATGTCCACATTCAACCACTCGACAGTGCTTACATTAGACACATTTTCGAAGAACGGTAGTTTTTCTTCTCAGTAGATAAAGCCTTCTTGTTAATAATAAAAAATATGGTTTGAACCGGTAATACTTCCTAGCCGACAGTAATGGAAATAGTAGTCACAACCTCTCAAACCAGGGTAACTTTGAACCGATTATCTTAGCTATGGCACTGTATCAAGCTGGCTCGCAGAAAAGCTTGTACGCAATTGGTGGTGGCATGATTCACATTTGTGGGGCCAGCTTCGCCAGCTGTCACGTCGCAGACAATATTCGAAAGATAGCATACGCAAAAGGCCACCACACCAATGACTTTTGTCGGTCATTTTTATCATGTGAATAGGAACAGTACTTCGGAAATTTCCAAACAATTAGTCAAAATCGTGGGGACGATAACAGCTTTTTTTAGGCGTAGCTATAAAAAAATAGAAGTGTAATGAAAATAAAACTTCAACAGATTGAAGTCAAATTTAAGAAAGTTCGAAATGATAGTCTTTCATCTAGCTTCAGCCAAAAGCGTTAGGTTTTAGCCACATATTCCTTAACGCTACAAAAGCCAGTTTTGTCAAAACGTGAAAAATTGCATTCCTTTTTAGTCATCATGTACAGATCAGTTTCAGTATGGATAGAAAAGGAGACAAGATGGCCTATGTTAGACCTGACAGTGATGTTCCCTCAGTTAATCCTTTTTTTTAAAGAATCGAGAGATGGAGTTTCAATCATGTGTTGAGGTAATGAATTACACTCGGTGATGATTCGATGGGAAAGTCGATAGTAAAGTGACAAGTAATTTGTCTCGAGTCTGTTAACATTTTGGAGTGTCCTTGTAAATTCTCTGTTTGGGAGACAAAACATGAGAGCAAATCAAAAGCAAATTTATCACTAAGTAATATGATCAAGACAGACCAAAGACATCAAGTTCTTTAATGGTTACATTGTCCAGTGTGTATGTGGTGGGGAATTATATGAACTGATGGGAAGGGTGTTTCTACAACGTATACGTTGCTAAAGTAGTTTGAGAATACATGAGCCTTGCCACAGTCGGCCTCCACTTGTAATGAAGTATTACTGTCTCCCCATAATGCTGGGCTATTTCTTCTTCTTTTAGTCCCTTGGTTTATGTAAGAATATAAGCGTTTAGGCATTACATAGATTCCTTAACAATGCCAAAAGTATTCGTAGATTAAAAACGCCTGAACCAGTAACATTTTTATAACTGAAGTACGCCAACTCGATCAGAAGTCAGGATTGAAAGAGTTCGAAGATATATTTAAAAGGCAATCCGTATCTCGAATGAATATTTGGCTTAAGCCAACTAGTCGCGGAAAGGGATGCGTAGCACGATGTACCCACTAGTGATCTGGTGTGGATGCGTGACAGAGCGCTTCAGCTAAGTGATTCCAGTAAAATGACTATGGTAAGCATCAAAGACTTATAGAGCTATTTATTTTTGGGATTTATTTACCGCTACTCGTGAATCAAAACTACGACTCAAAGTTTTCGATATTTAAAAACATTTATTTGCATCAGACGTCAAAGAAATGCAAACTTCTGTTTTTATCGCTGCTGTACAAAAAACAAAAATTTGGCATAATCAAAATTGAATGAATCGTAACGTCGTACATTAAACTTGTTTCACATCTTTAGCGTTACAATTCAGTGCGCCTTGTTTGTTTCTCACCATGATTGTGTTTAAGGACATGATTACTGGTATGAATAAATATCTTTAATATTTTCTTCAGAGGATGAAATGTTCACAGACTCTCACTGTCCTCGTATCGTCGCGGATTTCTTTTATGAAGTAGAATCGAGGTTTACGACAACTTCAAGTAAGGTGGATGGGAGACTTATTGGCGCCAACCCTTCTGGTGAGGGTGAAGACGATGAAGATGTGGATGATACGAGTGAAAGAGTCATTGATTTAGTTCACGCTAATGGTTTCATTAGTGTTCCTTACGACCTAAAATCATACAAAGCTCAACTTAAAGTAAGTTTTCCAGTTAAATTGATATTGTTCTAGTCGTATTTAAAAGCTATAAAAGAACGTTTGCAAAAGACTGATCCAGACAAGCTACCCTTACTTGAAAGTCAGGTCAACAAGTACATGAAAGATGTCTTTGCAAACTTTGACCAATATGAATGTTTCACGGGGCCGTCAACTAATCCTGAAGCCATGGTAATTTTGATGAACTTCCGTGAGGACGGTATGACACCATACTTCGTTTTCTTCAAGGATGGATTGATTCATGAAAAATGTGTAAGTTGGTTTTCTTTCGTAATCATGAAGATAGTGAGGCGCATCGTCTTCGGAATCTTGGAAATCATAAACATCTTGTAATTTACAAATACAATGTGATATGTTTCTGAATTACTGCTTTTCTCAGTGAATGTATACACTATCAAGTCAATCGCTCAGAGTAACGGAAAGTGAGTTGGTCGTAAAGATCATTGTCTTGATCGCCTAAGCAACGTCTAATGGTTCAAATGGTTGTAAAAAAAGAATGACTTTCGGTTAATGGACTTCCGTATCCATGAATTGCCGATGCTTAGAGGTATGAACCTGGGCATGCTTATCAAACGTAAGAGTAATGTTGGTAAATAATGTTGAGGTACTGTTCGAAGACCTTAGTAATGTCCAGTTTTCTCTTGAAAGACTCCTGAGAAATCTCTTAGACCATCTCAGCCAACCACCACCGAACTATCTTGTAATAAGTTACACCACGCGGATTAGCTCTTCACCGCAATGTGATTGTAAAAACGGTCTTTCGACTGTACGTAAGTGCCCAAGTCACTCATTCGGCCACCAGTATAATCAGAGCGTCCGCAACACTTCAGCTCTTTGGCACTAGGTATTATGAAGACGTATTTTTCGTAGCTGTTATAGTGTACTAATATGATTAGTTGTCTTATCAACACAAATGATAAAACCAAAAATATCAAGCTTTAGTCTGATCATTTCAAGCATAACAGTGAACGAGTCCACTATATTTTGTGCTTCATTGTGAGGCGTTAAACTTCGGCCGGTTGTATCGTCAATTCAAATCAGTTTACAGAAGATTGAAGATATCGACTTTCTCGAGTTCTAAAATGTTTAGTGTCAATGTGAACAAGAAACAAGTTTAATTAGTCCTGTAGAATCTAAGACTATCAATGGGTAATAAAATTCAATACCTAGTCGATTATCGCATTATGTTTTCACTACGATTATGATTGATCTTCCACTGATCACTAATATATCTCGTTTGTGACAATGTTATTTCTATTTCTGTGTTAGCGACCTTAAAAATTCGACATTGTGAATGGCTAAACATGTGCCAGAAACGGCTCAGACGTATATATGCACTATTTGGAATTTCAATGTGATTTCTTTATACACAAATATGTTCAACTTGGGATATCTTCATTTCCCATAGTGTGAACTGTGACAATCAAAAAGGAGATAGAAACTGATATATACGTTTATCCGCTCTGGTTACACGCACACAGGCGCAGTGTCAAATATCTACATGATAGTGGTAATAGTAGTAATGATCCCAGCGGATAGATCAATTATATTTTAACGTAGGATACCACAGTCAATATATCATTAACTATCAGCATTGAGAAGTTTCCATGGTTAATAAGAAGTTAAACTTACCCAACCGCTTCATGCATCATCATTTTTCTCGACATTGACCAGTCGTAAGGGGGGATGTTCATTTCTTGGAGTCAGGACATTAGAAGCGACCCACATGTTTGATATCAGTTTTTGCACGATATTTCTAGGTGTTTTGCCTGTGTACTTTTATTTAATGGGAATTAGTGGGAGGTACTTCGTCACAAGGTCATACAGTGCTCACGTAGACGACCAGTAAGCATTTCATCGCACTTACTAGATTACAGGTTGGACACCCATTCAGCAACTTTCGCCAACCGTAGCATTACTGTGAGATCTTCTATGTGGACGCTGCTTGTTATATCTGGTTATCATTGATTATTATGATGGGATCGCTTATCATTTGTACTCGAAAACGAGGAAACACTGATTCCCACGACGCGAATGTGAAAACAACTGGTACAAATGAAGAATTATTAACCCCTAAATCTGTCGATTCTAGTCGAAAATACACATTTATATATTGATTGCAAACGCATTTTGAATAATAATTAGGATAAAATCACATGTGGAAAATACTTGGTTATAACAAATCACATGCTGAGTCTAGTTCATGCTAACTTAGTACAAGAATGTCGTATGTTATACAGAATAAAATATCGCACTGGAAAACAAATATTACACTGAGTGATCATCACACTGAATTAAAATGGAAGCAATGCTGAACAAAAGTCATAGTGGATAAAAGGATGTAGTTTCGACTTATCATCTCGTTATATCATTAAATAACCATCAAATCAGATGTGTACCTCGAAGCCGAATGTATAGAACTGCACATGATGGGGACTTGTTTAACAATAAAATCCCTATCTTGGATTTGGAATTTGTAGTGTTCAGGACTTGCCCAACATTTCGTACCATCTCTTACTATCACTCATTAAATGTTCAGCTCTAACTGGTGGTAACATATTTATGTCAGGGTGGAAGTGCCTGTGTTGAAATGAGTAATGTATTTAGCACGATAAATTATCACTAGGTGATTTCTACGCGTACCGTAATTCATTTATCAAATGGTTGGTATTTTAAACAGTGGAGTTAAGTAGAATGTAAGTATATACGTGGAATAAGTTATAAATAAGATGGGGCATCCTCCCTCTGCTTACATAGACACTTAGATTCACATGTAGCATAAATTGGGGTAGATACAGAATTTTTAACGTTCCTGACATTTTCACTGGTCGCAGGTAGGGAACTGAACGTTGATAAACGAACAACTAGTACGAATATTCGTCAATAGCCGGATGAATGGTTTGACAGGAAATTAATGCAATTAGTATGTAAAAATAGTCACTAAATTCAGATGAGTTCCCATCCCACTTAGAAGTTTTTAAGAAATTGTTACGACATTCAATCCATGTAGTAAATTAGTTTGTGCACAAAGCTCGTACAAATAGTTTAGTTATTTATTTAGTTGTAACTATCTAATTATATGTTAACGTATGAGTTGTAGGAATGTTTACCGAATTTTACCTGATTTTTGGCATAATACGAAACAAAACATATTATGTGTTGCGTGAACTACAAAAAATATCGATCTAATAAGTATGAATTTTGAAAAACTAGTAGAAATGTAAGCTAATGGATCTGATGAGTCGTTTCATTTAGGATATTATCATTATATACAGCTGAAATAAAGTGGTTTGGGGTTATTTGAAATTATTCAGTAATAAAATGTCTTTCAACAGGTCAGTATTACTAAGTTCGGAGAGTAAACATGGACAAGAATTAGACATCATTTAGTTTAAGTTATGACGGGATAGGTGCTCCAACCTTTTTTTTATGGCATACGAAATGCAAAAGGCTACAATACGTAGGCTTTTAGTTATTGGGAAGAAGCTGGTTGCCATTTATTTTGCATTTAAATTAAAATACTATCGACAAAATAATTGAAGAGCTTTCCTTTCAACCTTTTGATAATTAATAACACTAACTTTCCATTTGGTCAATGTATACTAGTCAGATAGTACCTACTACACATACATCTGTATTTAAGAGTCACCTGGACATACAGTCATGACCCTCGGGAAAAGCATAAGTATGCTGTGCAGTAGTCCGCTTCGATCTGATTTATATATAGCTATAAAACGTGGCTTTCATAAGTAAAGAATAGTCATAGGTAGTTTCTAATTTCGTCTTCGAAGCATCACTTGAGTAATTTGAGACCGTCAATTAGACAGGGCAGTCGGTGTATATAATAAATCGGTTGGTAAACTATCGGATCTTCATCAGATGAAATGTCTACTTACGCTTGTTACCTTTCGTGCAGGAGCATAAACCATCCATCGAGATTTCCCATACAACTCTGTTCTCGACAGGCCTTTCCGGTTGCTGTAAATCCTGCTCATATCTGCTTCCTACTCCCGACTTAGTCCCGAGCTGCCAATTTAGGGGAAATGAGACCCAAACCGCTAAATTTCCCCAAAGGTTGGGGAAGGCTATTTCACTTTAGGGATTTCACCAAAATTTCCCCAAAGATGGCAGCTTGTGGTGTGGTTTTTGGTCTCCCTGTTTTCCGTTTCCCCTCAGGATGATAAGTTAGCGTTTGCTTTGTGATGCAATTTGATAGTTTCCGGAATGCATGTCCTATTTGTTGTATCCCGATAAGAGCAATGAATGGTGACTTGGGATCCCTTAAATGGATCCACAATTGTGGACCAATACTAAATGTATATTTTTATCGTATAATTGTTAATTAACCAAACTTCATATTCGTGTTCCTCTTATTATAAGCTTTATTTTGACTTATGAACTATTATTATACGATTTACAATTCTTGGATTATTCCCTGTCTATTAATTACTACCTCCCTTATTCACAGCCACATTTGGGCAAATGTTGTTTCCTATTTCATTGATACGATGTGGTCTGTTTGGTTGGTATATAAACCCAGTATGTTTGAAATATATGGTTCATATCGCATAGGCTGAGATTGGTGTTCTGAACTTAACAGTTTGGGCTAGGCGGGAAGCGGGACCGATAAGGACCCTTGACTGCTCATACGCGTTTTATGCGTCATTGGTCCGATCGATAATCCCCTGTTCTCTGATTGGTGGTTTGAAGAAGTACATTAACCTTGTAAAGGCTCTCTACTCGAACACAACTGGTCGAGTGAGAGCTTATGGTGAACTGTCATCAGAATTGATTACCTCAAGTGGTGTTCGTCAGAGCTGTCCACTCTCTCCATTCTTGTTCAACTTTGTCATTGACGTACTTTTAGAGATAACACTTTCCTCATCTAAATTTACGGGGGTTGAACTTCTACTGGGAGGTTCACTTGTTGACTTGGAATATGCCGATGACAGTTCTATTTGGTGAAGACGCTGACAAAATGCAGAGTCTTCTGACCACTCTAAGCAACAATGCAGGCATGGTCGGGATGCGATTCTCCCCCTCGAAATGCGAAATGTGGCTTCAGGATTGGGTTGCATCGACACCCGAATTAATGATAGGGAGTGAAGTAATTGAGCGTGTCGATCGCTTCACTTATCTCGGGAGTCTCATCAGCCCTTGTGGTCTGGTGTGTGACGAAATCTCAGCACGGATACAGAAGGCTCGACTAGCCTTCGCCAAATTGCGTCATTTATGGAGTAGGCGAGATATCTGTCTATCAACCAAAGGACGGGTTTACTGCGCAGCAGGTCGTTCCGTCCTACTTTGTGGCAGTGAAACATGGCCGGTAAGGGTAGAGGATATTCGTAGGTTACTAGTATTTG